CCTCATATCGGGTGTCAATTTCTAGGATATGAAAAGAACTCATAAAGCTTAACACACACACACACACACACACACAAATAAATAAATAAATAAAATTTATAAAAAATGAACCCAAACAATAAATGGACAAAGGAATGGAACAGACACTTCTCAAAAGAAGAAATACGATCAGTCAACAAATATATGAAAAAAGAATGTTCAGCATCACTAGTAGTTGGGGAAATGCAAATTGAAAATATACTGAGATTTCATCTCACTCTAGCCAAAAATGTAATATCAAGAATACAAGCAATAATAAGCATTAGCAAGGGTGTGGTGAAAAGGGTACACCCACACATTGTTGGTGGACCTACAAATTTGTGCAACCACTCTGAAAGCATAATGGAGATTCCTCAAAAAACTAAGAAAGTAACCACCATTTGATCCAGTTGTTCCACTCCTTGATATATACCCAAAGGACTTAAAATCAGCACATTACAGTGACAACCACATCAATGTTTATGGCAACACCATTCATAATAGCTGAGCTATGGAGCCAACCTAKATGCTGATCAATAAATGGCAYAGATGAATAGATAAAGAAAATGTGGTCTATATACAYAATGGAATATTATTCAGCCATAAAGAAGAATSACTTTATGACTATTGCCAGTAAATGAATGGACCYGGGGACAATCAGATTAARTGAAAAAGCCAATCCCCCAAACCAAAGGACCAATGTTTTCTTCRWCRTGTGAATGCTAATCCACAATAAGTGAGGGGAGGGAAGAATAGAAGTTCATTGAATTTGATAAAGGGGAATGAAGGGAAGGGAAGGGGATAGGAAAGGGAGAGAAGTAGAATGAATCTGACTTAACTTTCCTATGTGTATATATGAATTCACCACAGTGAATATCACCATTGTGTACATCCAAAGAAATTAATTGAAAAAATAATAAATAAAAATAACTATTGGAGGCCAGGCGCATGTCTATAATCCCAGCAGCTTGGGAGGCTGAGACAGGAGGACCACAAGTTCAAAGTCAGCTTCAGCAAAAAGTGAGTCTCTAAGCAACTCAGTGAGACCCTGTCTCTAAACAAAATACAAAATAGGGCTGTGGGTGTGGCTCAGTGGTAGAGTGCCCCTGAGTGTTCAATCCCCAATAAGAAAAAAAAAAAAAGAAAAAAAAAAAACTATTGGTAAATGACAGAAAGATTGACAGAGGAAAGAGAGCAGGAGATGGGGAGAGGGAAGGGGAAGGAGAGGTATGGTGGGGTCTTAATTAAAATAGATGTAGTCCAAGCCCTCAGTCATAATTTTTCAATCATATTTTCATCACCAGTGATTAGTGGACTTCTTGTGACTTTGAAGAAGGAAAAAGAAGAGATTTGCTAAAGATGTAATAAAAATTTGCACAGACCCCAGAAGACAGGCTTTCTGTTCATGAGTCTAAGGATGAAGAGAGCGACTGTTGACTTCTAATAATTGTCAATCTTTTTTTGATTATATATAAATTTTTGGCTATTTTTATAAAGCCTATATGGAAAACTAGAATATTTGGGAAGCATCTTAATCACTCTTTGCCTTCAAGATCTAGCTTCGAGTGTTCCCTCTTGGTACAAGGATTCTGTGAGCAGCCTCTCTGGACCCTGCCTGTCCTGGCCACTGAAAGTTCAGCCCCCCAACGGTGTCCTTCATTTGACTGCATCTCATCCCAGGATAGTTAAGAGCATGGGTTTTTAGAGAGAGGTGGCCTAAGTTTGCTTAGGTTGCCGTGTGTTCAGGGGTTGCTCAGGAACCTCTCTGTCCCTGAGTTTCGATACTTATAAAATAGGGTTAYAACAGCCAACTACTGTCACAGGATAGTTTAAAGAATAAAGCAGATGGTGTTCCTTGGGTATGCACAGTGCTGAATATGAAGGCGAGGTCTTTTGTTGTGGTGGTCTTCCCCACTGTTACTGTGGTTAACTGTGTACCGTCTGCATTTCCAGCTAAATTATAAATACCTCGAAGGCAGGAAACTTACATCTGTAGAGATGGAAAGGTTGGACGACCTTCCTCTGCCATCATAAGGGTCAGGGTCCAGCCACCTATAACAAAGGCAAGTTAACATGAGAAGAACATAATTTTTTAAACAAAGTTTTATACGTCATGGGAGCCTTCAGACATGAAGACCCAAGGACCCAGGGAAAACTGCCTGTTTTTATGCTTAGGTTTGATGGAGACCCTTGACAGTCCACAGAAAGGTGACTGGGTTAAAGAGGCATTATCTAGGGGTAACTGGAGGAGGGAAACCCTGCAGGTCTCCTGGGGATGATTCTTGCCTCAGCCTGCAGCACTTCTTTCTCCCAGCTGTGGGGCAGCGAGAGTCTTCAGGGAGAAGGGAGACAGTCACTTTCTGGGTCTTAGGGCTGGCTTTGGGGGAGAAGAGCTCTAGGGTCTAGACCAACCTTGGGGAAGAGAATTTCTGGTTTTAGGAGAGAAAGAAGAGGGAGAGACAGATAGGCAGGGGAGGGTCAGAGGGAGACTGACTGCATCTGAAACCTTCCAGTCTCCTCCAGCTCAGAGTATTCAGCCTAGCAGAGGGTCATGCTTTAGGGTATCTGAGCCCCAACACATGGCTATTCAAATAAAACACAAATTAACACGGAATGTTGGAGATAAATATCCAAAGACACAGAGCACATTTGTTAGTTCTTTATAGATACCTTAAGGTATCTCTAATTGGTACTCAATATGAATACTGATAGGTATGTTGTTAGGTCTTGGGTGACAATTTATTATTTTTCCTTCATTAAATCTTGCTCAATGTTTTACCAATAGAAAGTTATGAACAAATGATTATTGAAGTTACACATAACTTATTCTCATAAAGCACAATTTTGAATTAAATTGAACTTCTGCCTTATAAACATAAAGTTGAATATGCTGAAGGTAAAAAGCAGTATTTACAATAATCTAATCTTTTAAAATATTTTTTAAAAGATTTAATATTTAAAATTTTAAATATTTAAAATACTTTAATATTTTTAAAAAAGAGTTTTAAAAAGTCCACAGTGTAGTTAGGGATAACCACCTCCCCCATATTCATACTAAGATATACGTTTTCTGAAAGTACTTAATGGTGCTTGGACTAAAGTGTACATTTCAAAGCACTCACATTATGACTTAATGCACTTGCAACAGGCTCCTGAGTGAGCTTACATATTGCTTAGGTTGCAAATGAAAAAGAGGGGGAGTTAAGACCTATGGAGCACCTTCGACACTCTCAATGGTTTTCTTTGCTTCTTTTTCCTTCTTTTGTGGTGCTGGGGATTGAACTCAAGGCCTCACATAGGCAAGAGAAGTGCCCTGCCACTAAGCTGCATCCTTTTGAAAAAATTTAAATTTCAAGATAGGGTTTCCTTAAGTTGTTGAGGCTGGCCTGGAACTTAGGATCCTCTTGCCTCAACCTTCAGAACAGCTGAGCTTCTCCGTTTCCCTCTTAATATTGACTCTCCATCCATCCCAGCTAGTACTGTGCTCATCAAACAACAGAAAAATGTTTCATGTCAAAGCTCAGAATTATGGGATCATTTAATTTGAAGACCGGAAGGAAACATAAAAGATAACCAAGATAGCCATCAGAACAGCAACATTTTGACACTTTACTTGGGATAGGACTCTGTTTTTGTCAGTTACTTTCATGCTGTTCCTTGCAGGGCAACTCACCATACCAGCTAGTTCCTTCCCCTGTGCAGGGGAGTGGAGCTTTCACATGTTCCTCTAAAGGACCATCCCGGCCAGGAATTTTGGTTTTCCTCTGAGTATTTTTTAAGGGGCACCGTCATATAACATTAGGGACAAGAAATGCATTTCATTCTTTGACTTTATTCCTCTTAAAAATAGCCTTTGATAATAAGTCACAAAAATAACACATTATTAATTAGTAAATTGTCAAGACGTGCTGTTTGATTCCATTCCTGTATGGGTCCATTTAAATTTCAACTGAACTTACACACATTTTTGAAATGCATTGTCGAAAATTTGGATACTTTCAAGTAAAATTTAAAAAAATGAGTTTCTCAACAGATGCAGTGATTAAGGACGTCCTTAATTTTTAAGATACTTACTAGAGGTATTTATAAGTAATCCAGTTAAAGAAAAATATGATTGGTAATAAAGCCCCAAACCTTACCTGAATCACTTTGTTCTTTACATTTATTTATATAAAGCTGATTTAATATTCAAATTACTTCCAAAAGGTTTAATTTTGATTTTTTTTTTCTTTCACTGGAGTCTCTGATCTTTCTTTGGTTAGACGTGCTCCAGGGAGGATTTGGCTAGCTTGCTTGTCTAGGGGGTGTTCACTGAAGCAGCGTATAAATCAACTCCGGGAATTTTCACCAGGCCCCTTTTGACTTCTCACACTGACGTGACTCGTGACGTCGGTTTATTTGCTTAATTAAGAGGGGAGAAAAATACTGTAATAAAAAGGGGAAAAAACAGAAACAAACCCCCTAGAACGCCTGGAGGCTGGCACGCCCCTCCCAGCCCCCTCTGCTTCCGCGGAGGCTCGCGCCGGCACAGCAGCAGGTTCCTACACGTGCCAGGCTCAGCCGGGGCGTTCCCGGCTGGGGACAGCGAGCTGCGGGAGTCTGCAAGCACCTGGCCTGGGCTGGGCCCCGGACACTTGTGCTCCAGGACGCCAGCTCCAGCGCCAGCGGCGCGGGGCTCGGCGGTCCGGAAGGTTTCCTGTGTGTCAGCAACTTCACTTCGCGGAGGAGCGCGCGCGGGTGGTCGCTGGCCAGCAGCCGCCTTGGACCCAGTGCGCCCCTCGCTCTCGCGGCCGACTCGGGTGGTGGCGGCCGAGCGGGGACTGAACGCACCCGGGCGCTGCAGAGACCTGCTCGCCCTAGACGACCGCCCCGGCGGCGCCCCCGAGAGCGCGGGCTGCCGGGCGCAGGCACGCCCCTCGCCTCCCCGCGAGCGCGGACTCCGCCCACCGCGCCGGGAGCTCGGCTCTCCCGCCTGCCCTCTGCACTCGGGACTGAGCCGGGCCTCGGGAAGGGCCCCGACCTGCACGGACCGCGAACAGGACGCGACCCAGAAGGGCACGGGTCGGCGGCCTCGCGTGCACCGATGTCCCCAGAGGCCACGCGCAGGGTGAGGGAGGCCGGACGGAGCGGCGCGGCGCCCTGAAGCCTAGCTCCTCGCCTCCAAGGTAGGGAGGAGGAAGATGCCCGAGCGAAGTTGATCCCAGGGAGAAGGAGGCTGGGGTGCTCCCTCCCTACGCCGGACCTCAGCCGAGCGAGTTCGGCCTGACGTTCCTGCGCACCGGGCGTGCTCGGCAGCGCGGACCCGCGGACCCTAGGGAAAGCGCAGTTGGAAAGTTGGCGGCGGCGGTGCCCTGTGCGCCCTGTTGTGTAACCTCGGCGCCGCCAGCCGGACGGGGAAGTTGCCGGCCCGCCCAGCCGCCGGGTTCAGGCGCTGCCCCGGGCCGATTTCATGGCCCCGGGGGGACGCGCGGCTGCAGCCGGCGTGGGCGAGCCCCCGCGCGCACCCTTCTTCGGGGACCTCCCGCGCGCGATCCCTTCCGCTCGCGGGCTTTGCCGATGCTCCCTGCGCCCTTTGCCACCTCCGCCCTCTCGCCGCCGCTTCCCCCTCGAAGCTGCCGCCTAAGTCGGGGAGAAGAGAATGACAGAGGTGCTGTGGCCGGCTGTCCCCAACGGGACGGACGCTGCCTTTCTGACCGACCCGGGCTCGCCTTGGGGAAACAGCACGGTCGCCTCCGTCGCCGCCGTCACCACCTCCTTTAAATGTGCCCTGACCAAGACCGGCTTCCAGTTCTACTACCTGCCGGCTGTCTACATCTTGGTGTTCATCACTGGCTTCTTGGGCAACAGCGGGGCCATCTGGATGTTCGTGTTCCACATGAAGCCGTGGAGTGGCATCTCCGTGTACATGTTCAACTTGGCGCTAGCCGACTTTCTGTACGTGCTGACTCTGCCCGCGCTCATCTTCTACTACTTCAACAAGACCGACTGGATCTTCGGGGATGCCATGTGCAAACTGCAGAGGTTCATTTTCCACGTGAACCTTTATGGCAGCATCCTGTTCCTGACGTGCATCAGCGCGCACAGGTACAGCGGCGTGGTGTACCCRCTCAAGTCCCTGGGCAGGCTCAAGAAGAAGAACGCCGTCTACATCAGCGTGCTGGTGTGGCTCATCGTGGTGGCCGCCATCTCGCCCATCCTCTTCTACTCYGGCACCGGGGTCCGGAAGAACAAAACCGTCACCTGCTATGACACCACCTCCGATGAGTACCTACGAAGTTACTTCATTTACAGCATGTGCACGACCGTGGCCATGTTCTGTGTCCCGTTGGTGCTGATCCTGGGCTGTTATGGATTAATCGTGAGAGCTTTGATTTACAATGACCTGGACAACTCGCCTCTGAGGAGGAAATCGATTTACCTGGTGATTATCGTGCTCACCGTTTTTGCTGTGTCTTACATCCCTTTCCATGTGATGAAGACGATGAACTTGAGGGCCCGGCTGGATTTTCAAACTCCAGAAATGTGTGCTTTCAATGACAGGGTGTATGCCACTTATCAGGTGACAAGAGGTCTAGCCAGTCTCAACAGCTGTGTGGACCCCATCCTCTATTTCTTGGCTGGAGATACTTTCAGAAGGAGGCTCTCCCGAGCGACCAGGAAAGCTTCCAGAAGAAGTGAGGCAAATTTGCAATCCAAGAGCGAGGACATGACCCTCAATATTTTATCGGAGTTCAAGCAAAATGGAGATACGAGCCTGTGAAGGCATCAGAATCCCCAAACACCTCACTTTTGTAACATGGTAGGATGCTTAACACAGCCAACTGCTTTCTCCCCTTTAAGTTTCTAGTTAAGAGAAAATTCAAAGAATGTAGTGAGTTAAAGGGGGAGGGGGATTGAAATGCCCTCCTCTGCGCTTAGTTCATTCAGGTTTCTTTTCAGTCCCCCTTCTTACCRACTAGTAGTCTATATAATAAAACAACACTACCTAGTTAAACTTTTACTTTCTTGTCTGCCTTTAAAATTTACAAGCTTTTCTAGTTAAAGTGTGTGTGTGTGCACATGAGARGTAGAGCTATTTAATATTAATAATTTCTCCAGGAAAACTAGCCACCTGAAACTTGAGTTTGTGACTTGTCCTGGCTTTATTGTTTTTAATAACCCATGGYATGAACAAATTGAAAAATCCGTATCCTCAAACATACTTAGCCTAGTTTAAGAGTCCTTAACTGAGTTCGTCCAGTAAAGAATGAACACAGCTGACTAAATTTCTTTGGGGAATTGAATAGAAATGTAAAGTCAATGAACATAAAAACCTGAAAAGTGTTTATTTTCCAGTTATTTCTGGAAAACTGCTCAAGACACCCTGGATACTAAATGTCTGATGGTAGAGGTCTGCATATATTATCTTCCTGGAAAAATGCATTTGAAGTAATCAAAGTGCATGTATTKTCCTTGTAAACACCATGAGCCCTGCTAGACTTCCTGAGATAATGAGTTTACTTGCACACTGCTGGGCAGTGTCTTAGGACTTTGTTTGTGTTCCAGGACAAGTGCTCACTCACATCTGTGAAAACAAGTTTACAAAAATCACAGTAAAATTACAGAGTAAAGTTTGAGTGCAATTGAAGAATGGTTAGCAAATTGAGGGATGGGGGCAGTGTTTTCAGAAGTGGGTAGTTGAGGGTCGCCCACAATGCAGAGGCTACAATTATACTTTTAAACAGGAGGCAAGTGGGGGTGGGAAAAGAACTTCTAGAACAAGGACTATAAAACCATGGTGGAAAAGGTTCTTCTTGCTTCTTCAGAGTGTTTGAAAACTTTAAATGCAATATGAAAAGAAGAAGTAGGCAGAATTTGTATGGGTTGTATTGATGGAATAGGAAGCTAAAGTCTTCCTGAATCTTATATCCTAACATTTAAAGGAAAATGAAACATATATGGAAAGAGAAGTATGGGAAATTAAATTGAAGCATCTAAGGTATCGTTGCACTGAAAAGCAAGCTGTAGAAAGTACTAATCAAACTATAGAATAAAGGACTGGGGTATGGCCCAGTGGTTAAGTGTCTGGGTTCAATCCCCAGTACCAAAAAAAAAAAGAAAAAAAAATCCAAAACAAACTATAGAATGAAGAGGGCCTGGCAGTGTTTTCTTATTCTGCCAGGCTTTAATGAAAATTTTGTAAAATAGTTCAACAACTTAAATAATAATTTTCAGTGAATACTGAATTACTACATTTCTAGCCCTTGAATTGCTCAAATATTGTATCGTGGGAATGATGAGAAAATATAACAACCACAAATAAACAGACCCAACATCCAAGGAGTTTCCAGCTGTAAAACTTGACCCCATCCAGCTGACAGCACAGCGTGCAGCTGAGGGTGGAGGACACATTTAGAAGCACCTCATAAGTGGAGCCATGTAAAGGCTGTATGTTAATTCAGGAAGGAAGCTCAGTGCCCCATGAAACAGCGTGACAGGGAATTCAGAAATTGGTGTCAGTACTTGCAATGCCCAGATGGATTGAGGATTGTGAGACCTTCAGAGTTGCTTCAGTTTACCCAACTCCAGCCATTAAGATTAATGAAGAAAAGCTGTATTTAGCCATTCTGGGTAGTGCTTTTCGTTTGTTCACAAGTGCATCTTAATGCATAGGATTATGGAAATGAAGTCAAGAAGAAACCTACTTCCTCATTTTGAGCAATGAGGGTTTGCAACATTTTCACTTCATGAGGCTCATACAACATTGTCAGTTTTAAAATCCTAAGACAAAATCTACTTAATTTTTTTTAGAGTATTGACCCTTTCAAACAATATCAATATTATTAAACTGACCACAATTCCACTGCCTGTATTATACTTGAACTTGCAGCCCATTGGTACACATTTCTATAATATTTTTCTCACCATTTAATTAGGTTTTCTTCCTTTCAGGTCTCAGAATACCCAGACTCCTTGGGGGGATGTGTTAAATACATTGTTTCAGGTTCCAGAGAACTTTCTGTAGGAACAGATCCAACCAGAAGGTGGACAGTGGCTAGAAATGTCCTTTTACTAATTGGCATGTTTTTTCCAAAGTGTTTCTTCTTTGCTTCATGCCAACAATGACATGTGAATGCATGCCACCTAGTAACAAGAATGATCTTGCCAACTCCTTCCAGGCCAACAGAAGTCTCTGGGAAGATCTGTCCTAATGGTGAAAAATATACAGAGGGTCAGGATGAAGCAGTGATCTATTGGCTGAAAAGCTGATTCATGCCACATGAGGAAATGAGTAAGTATTTGAATAGTAGAGGCAGCAATCCGTTGGCATTTGGATGAAAGAGCTGCTAAAATTAAGAACTTAGCAGTTAACTAAGTTTTACAAAAATATTTTAATGCCACCATCAAGTATTCTTATTGATTGTATAAATGGGTACCTTTGACTCTTTGAACATCAATTTGTATTTACATTGAAATAGAAAGATAAGCTAAGAAGAAATGTAGCCTGCAAGTCAGAATTCAGAGTTAAGCCCATAAAGTTGCCGCTGGGCCAGTTGTGGGACTCTTGACCCTTTGAAGACCATTCTTCGTGGATTAGAAAGGATTTTCTGACATCATTTGCTGATGCTGTAAGGGATTTGGTAAAGCTTGAAAACTGGACAGTGCAAGAAATCTGCTACTGTGTTTTCTAGGACTCTGCAGTCCAATGCTGGACTCACAAGTTTACAAGGTCCAGAGGTTGTGATGGGCAGGTCATACCCTGCGAGTCTTCTCTGTCTTCTCAGACAGGACACTGATTGATAACCTTTGGATACATCAGATATCAGTGCTTACAGCAGCTGCGCTTCAACTAGTGACAGTACTTAAACATGATCCTAGTTAGATCTACTGAAGCTTCAGCATTGCTGATTAAATCATGCCTATCGTAATAGTATTTATTGAGGAAGCTCACAGTCCTTCATTTGTACAGACTGGAAAACTTCTTGAAAGATCCAATATCGTGATGTAAATGGTATTTATTACAATGTATATTATTATGTCACACTGGTGTACTTAACATAATATATGATGCATAGACACAATGACAATTATATATTACGATGCTCTTTTCGAATAGCAGTATCTTGAAATGTTCGTCTTTGGTTTTCTGTGTGTCTAAAATATGAAAATCTGTTTCGAAATGCAAGTGACTAATTTTCCCTTTAAATGGATTTGTGTGTTTGCCTTTTCAGAGTTCTTCTGTGTAGACACAATCTGGTGTCAGATTATCATAAAATCAATAGTCAAAATAGGAAGTACTTTAGCCAGACTGGCTCTGTCTATCTACATTTTATATATATTATAGAAAAATACATGTTGTCTTTTCAGGAGATTTAGAATTTTGCTCCCCACTGTGATCAGAGTTTCCACTCCCAAAGGCAAAAAGCTTCTCGTACATCAAGTTGGTCACTTCTGTGTTTGTCTTTTGGAATGTGCATTATAAGACCAACATTTGACTTAATATTGACAGGCCTCAGGGAGATGGGAGGAAAAAAAATCAGCTGATATTATCACCTGTTATTGCTTAGTACTGAAGATTCTGCATTGTGTTTCTTCTTAAAGTGAAATTGTATAATCTTAATTTCTTTGAGATGGAGTTTTTAAGTAACACTATCAGCAAGTTCAACATTGCTATTGATTTTAATGTCTTAATTGTTCAGTGGGTAGCTTTAATGGCAGGATTTGGAGACTCATTCTCTTTTTGGGCTGCTGATTTCTGTGACAGTTTCATATTCTCATGTACCTTGTAGCGTACACAGCACACATTAACATGAAGGTGAATATGTTACATATCAAGCTTTGTGAATTTGAATTATGTTTTAGTGTTTTTGCAAAAATGTTTATTTTTATATTATCTGTGATTTTAATATAGAGAATTGAACAAAATTTCTTTGTGATTAATAGTGCCATTGAATGGGTGATATGAAACAGTGTTACTTGACATTTTGAGCCTTCTCAGGTTTATCTCAATAGGCTTAACGATATCCAGACTAATTGTGCATAATTGTGTTTTTAATAAAAGGAGTGTATATTTCCTATAATAGCATAGTACTGTTGCATGCAGGAGTATGCAGAATCTGTGTGTGTATGTGTGTGTGTGTGTGTGTGTGTGTGTGTGTGTGTGTGTGTGGCTAAGGCATGACAGCCAACTTTGTACCTACTATTTATAGCAGCAGCAGAGGTTCATAATGAGAGTCACTAGAATTGTACTCACCATAGACAATTAAAACTGAAAAAGACTCAATAAAACCATAAAACGTGGCTTCTGGCTTCTATGTTATTACAGTATTATTATGCACAAGTTTCCCTGAATTGATACACATTACTACATACAGACAAGTCCTGTGGGTGTGTTGAACTAACTTGGGTCATTTCTCAAGGTGAAAACTGGGCTGTGAAACTACATGCTAAGGGAAGCATCCAGGTGCAAGGTAATTCCTAACATTATCATTATTGGATTTTTTATTGTCAACAAGAGTGTGATTTAATTATTTAAAGCAAAAGACAGCACTGCCCTAATACGTACTTCCCATGTGGGTTTAAAGCACTGACTCTCATCTTCCTGCATCTGACTTGTGATCCATGGACATCATCATGCTAATGATAGTCCATTGTGGTTGCTGTCTGTTCACCTACTTCGCTTGCATCTCGAAGATGTGTTCACTGTGCTGCAGAGGTAATGCAGATGATGGAATGAAGCATCTTAAAGCATCCCCTCTTTCTATCTCAGTGGAGAAGGTAGGTGAACGATGGTCCTGTGTTAGGTTTCCTGGTGTCTGCTGAAATAGGGGGCCCTGTAACAAAAGCCTGTGTGTGGAATACCCAGCACCCTTGCCGCCCTTAGGATGCATGTCAGTCGCTGCCAGCTCCTCCATTAGATGTACTGTCCAGAGTTCACTATTTGGGAAGCCTTACTTATTAACATCAAGTGTAGTGTGTGAGGGTAGCAGTGTGTGTGTGATACATAAACAGAAATTATGCAATTGTCTTTCTGATTGAAGAAGAATTTACTCTAAAGCTTTGAACAACTTTTGATCTTCTAAATCACTTTGGGGCTAGAGTTGGAGAGCTCTGTCTCTCCAGAAGTCAATGTGCTTTTGATTCCCCTCTCTTGCCATAAAGAATTGGAAAGTTAGATTCTTTTGGGGAGATTTAGAATTTTGCCCCCAATATGACCAGAGCTTCCATTGCCAGATGTAAAATGCTTTTCCTAAATTCAAAGTGGAGTCTTATGGTCCAGAGATCGGATGGGATGGGGCATTATAGACACAGCGGATGTCACTGGAAGTCCATGCTAATGTTAATGCCATGCTTGCTGAAGCCTGCAGGGTTAGAACGCTTTGGGCTGGCCCCTGGGGACTGCCATCTCCAGTCAGCATAGCCACTGGGATGGACAGTCCAGAACAGCAGCTGTGGATGGAGCCAGGCCCCCGGTCTGAGCAGCTGGGAGAACTGGGTAGGGGCAGTGGCAGGAAAGGTACATGGGGGTCACTGGCACTGCAAAGATGGAAAAGCACTGTGTTTCTAGATGACCTGTGGGGAGAGAAAATCACCTCTGTGGAGGTGGGAAGTCCTTGATGATGGACTAAAGCAATAGAGACCCTGGAAATGATCCAGTTAATTCTGTCACCTTGGTTTGCAGATAGAGCAAAGCTTTTATTCAAAGGTGGATCTAGCAAAGAATGTCTATAAGTGCAGTGGGTTGTGATTAATGCTCCTAACCGAAACAAAATGGAATAGTACAGAGGCTATAACCTGGAAATGCTTTGCCATTTTAATTTCAGACAGACACACAACTTTACAGATACATATACATATATACACATATAAATCTATATACACACACTTGTGTCCTAGGTTTCAGTGGACACTTTACTTTTTATCTTGTCATGGTTAAAAAATTTTTGAAAAATTCTCCATTACTCATTTAGTAACAGGTGGCATGAAGTTAAAGGAATAGGAGAAGAGAAGTTGTTTTTCAAAACTGTTCTTAAGTAAGTACAATGGTAATTGCTAATTTTGTACATGTACTTGTCCCTTTCTTTCTTTTAGTGCCATTTGCTTCTAAACGTTCCATTCAGAATTCCCACAGAAATTATTGAAGCAGCATAGCCTACATTTCAGGATGGTTGTTGGCAGTTAAAAGATGTTTTAATTGAAACTCGGATTTGTGTAAATGCCGATGACTTACCACTTCATACTGTTTCTTAGTATGTTTGAACAATTAACAGCAACACAGCAAATCTCCACTTGGGCTTAATAACATCAGCTTTAGGGTAAGAATCCTTGGGCTTGAACCCAGTTTACCACTTGCAACTTGTGTGCCCTGGGAAATTTATTTAAACCCTCTTGGCTGTGAGTTCCCCTGCTACAAAATGGGCACAAGGGTATGCCACACAAAGGTGTTGGAGGAGTTAAGTGAAATAGAGCACAAGGCACTCTGTGCAGCTCCGACTCAGGAGGGGCGGGCATGCACTTTTTGAGGCCACTGAGAATTTTGCCACTTCTTGTGCTATTTGTGCTTGTTCTAGACTTATGTCATCTTCTTTCATGCTGTGGAGGCTTTGCTGGTCTCCTAGAGATTCATATTGTGGAACTAGTGGTCTCTTGGGTGCATTTAATATTATTCCTTGGGGTGCCCCCTGAACTTCACATAGTCAAGCGTTCGACTTTTTGCTGATTTGTACTAGGGCACGTGCCCAGGGGAACAAAGATGCAGGAGACAAAGTGAATCCAGCTAAACTATATTAACAAGAAGTTTTTGCCGATCTCCTTTGCTGGGCCTCACCTCTCAGGTTCTTGGTTTATTTTCAGTCCCACAGTCTGGTCTCTGGTTTTGCAGATCCAGAAACTTGATCTCAACAGTTCATCTAGAGTTCACCAATGCTGAGGGACTGACTCACACCAAGCAAACTGACAAGAGAATCATTTACCAGCTAGATTGCCAATTTCAAGTATACAGTGGCTATATCCCAGTCACAATAACAGACATCTGCCTTTTGTTCAAGGTAGATCTAATTATGTTATCAGAAAGATGCCTGCAGAGCTTAAAATAAGAACGAAATTGGAGATATTCTTGAAAAGCATTTCCAGTAAGAAGGACAGCTGAAAGAATTGCCCATCCCTGAGATACTGGTCATGCTAATCAGCATCTGTCTTTTACTTGACCATCAGTGTGTCCTGCACTCTGCCTGCTACAGACAGCTAAGCAGCACATGGAGTGAAATTTCACATTTGCTTATTTTTAAAAAATTAGTTATCACCATCATTACTTCTTGACATGGAAGTTAAGTTTTAAAAATGTGCTCTACCTGGGGAGTATGGGAGGAGGGGGATGATAGGAAGGGCTGTGATGCTCTCGAGGCTGGAGATACATTTGGGACATCTGATTGTAAAGGTGCATTCTGTCATTGCAAATGCCACTCCAGAGTTTATGGCAGGGTCATAGCAAGAGGTGTGAGAGTTATCCAGGTGGGAACGGTAGCTGTAACCAATCAAGTAGGTGCAGTCACCAGGGAGTATATGCAGACAGGAGCAGAGAGGCAGCAGGGGAGGAGGGGAGCATCACTAGCAAAGATGGACAGAGGAGGACACTGGGGGTGGGCGTGGGGGGGTAATGGTGTTACAGAAGTTCCAAGGCAGCCCATGAGGACATTAGCTTCAGAAGAGAATTTTGACCAAGATATAATTCTGTGTCACTTATAGCTTGAAGCAAAGACATCAGAAAGAGAAGAGGTGGTAAACAGCGATTTCTTAAAGATGCTAGAGGAATCAAGCTCCAGGTGGAAGCAGGTGGGTGGAGGGCACCACCAGGAAATAGAGGAAGGGCTCATCTAGGACAACTGTGGCTATTGAGGATGAAGGGCAGAAAAGGCTACGAGCAGAGGAGGGCCAACCACTGTGAGTCTAGGGTGTTGGACAGATTGCTTCGAGGCAGGAAGATCATGGAAGTTGTATGAGAAGATTGATCTCAAGTTTGGTGACTGAGAACACTGAGTAAAGGGACAGTTGGTGGGTGGAGAATTACAAGGAGAAGTGGAGAGCCGGGGATGGCTACCCCTTTCCTGGCCTGCCTGGGTAACCAGATAGCAAAGTGCTGTTTTCTGGGAAAAAGAGGGAGGGGAACACTTCACTGGGGCATTTTGGGCAGGTTTTGGTTTTTTTTAAAAAAAAAAGAAAAAAAAGAAATGAAGAAAACAGAAATCTCCTTTGGGGAGTTATGTCTCCAGAAGGTATATAAAGAAAGGGCAAGACACGCTGTCAGGAGACAGGTATAAATAGGAAGTCGGAAGAGAAGAAATGGACTGGACGGAGAAGAAGTTATAGCTGATTAGAAGCAAACTTGTAACAAGAATGCCTCTTTAAATCACAGGGAGAAAAAGAGGCAGGTTTAGAAAGATCCCAGGGCGGAAATCATTACTATTTCACAAGAACTTTGGCAATAAGTTTTCTCCTAATGCAGGCAGATGGTGCCTTCTGATGGATGCAGTCAGGGATCATCCTCGGGCAGGGCTTGAGGCTTTGCAGTAGTTCTATGACTTTAAATTCACTGGCCTTCTCCCCAGGAAGACTTGGAGACTATGTTACCTCTTCTTGAATCTGAGAGGGCCTGTGACTGTGTGGCAGAAGGGGTGTATTGTGACTATGAGACTAGGTCGTCAAAGGTCATGCAGCTTTGCTTGTTTGGAAGTTTGTCTTTGGAGCCCTGAACTACCACACAAGAAGCTGACCACCCTGATCCTACATGCTACAAAAATCACACAAAGAGATGAATTATCTTTGGAGGGCCTGGAAACCTGTGTGCATGAGAGACAGAGACAGAGAGGGAGAGGGAAGGGGAAAGGGAAAGGGAGGGGGAGGGGGAGGGGAGAGAACTCCAAGGATCATCATACCTGCCAGGCATCAGATATGAGTGAAGAAAAGTGATCCAGACTTGTCACCCACGGCTGCGTGAGTCTTCTCAGCTGAGCCTTACAAACCATGGAATAAAGACAAACCTGCCTTGCCGAGGTTTGTGTAAATGTCAAACCCAAGAAACCTATGAGAAAAATAACATTGTGGCTATTTTATAGCCCTGAGTTTTGGGGTAGTTTGTTACACGGCAATAAACAACTGGAGCAGCCTAAGCAGATTGTAATTGAGGCTGAAGATATGGTGACACTGTCAATTTTATTGCTTTCTTTTGTTCTCATGCAGATGTGAGGGGGTAAGGCTGATGCCAAGGTAGGGTTGAGTTAAGAACTATATAGTCTAAGTCCTCA